CTACTTCCGTAGTGATACTGCCTCGGAAACCCAAGGAGGGGTCACTATGAGTCGGGGCCGACTCGACGGCACATAACAACAACAACAACAACCTCATAGGGTTGTGTGTACATGTTGATGTTGTTAGCTGCCATCAAGTTGGCTTTGACTCATGGTGATCTTATGTAGAATAGAGTGAAACACTGCCTGGTCCTGCACATCTTCATGATCATTGTTAGGTACGTATGAGTGTTGTGTATACAATTAGTGCTATATAAGTATTTGTGGCTACTAGTAGTAATAGTATTTTAGGAAACCCAAAATTATTTTGCACATTTGCAGGTTCAATTAATTAAGTATATATTTCAGAATATGAATACTTTGAGAAGAATATAAATTTGGGCAAATGAGGTTCTGGTATGTGTTAAAATAAATCTTCTAGTTCACTCTCAATATTTGATATGGATTTAGAGAAATCTATGTCCCAAATACATCCTAAAATAATAACAGGATGTTTTTATACTAAAGGAGAAAGACATTAGTTTATAACAGTTTATATTTCCCTCTTTTTGAAACATGATCTGGTTTTAAGAGGCATTTTAAAACTAGGGGTTATGTTGATTTAAATTCCTTCTCTAGTATCTGACGAAAAGAATTCATTGAAACTTGACAGTTGCCTTTAAATGCTAGAAATGGAATTTTTAAAAAAGTGTTTGATAACTTACTGGATTTGCTTTATTCCAGGCAAGGCTGCTCACATTTAAGCCTTTGGTTAAGTCACAGGTAAAGGACCAAAGTCTTTCCAAATTGGCTGGTATTGTTGATTGTTGTGTACCAATTTCTATTTCTTCTTCTTCTTCCTTCTTAACTTCTTCCTCTGTCTCTTCAAGATTTTCACTTTGTAAGAAGTCTTCAGGTTCTTCAGGTTCAGGTTCTAAAACAAAAAGATAATTGTCCTCTAGAAAAATGGTAATTTTAACTCAAATTTTAATGTCTCAGAAGAACCACTAAAAAAGTGATGAATTTGTTATTATTTTATTAAACTCAAAAGACTATTACAAAGGCTACTAAAAAATAATTGAAGTCAGTGGTGGTTCAGTGGTAGAATGTTCACCTTTCATGAGGGAAACCAGGGTTGGATTCCCAGCCAGTGCACCTCACTCATCTGTCAGTGAAGACTTGTGGGCTGCTGTGATTCTGAACAGGTTTTAGTGGAGCTTCCAGACTAAGACAGACTAGGAAGAAGGGCATGGTGATCTGCTTCTGAAAATCAGCCAACAAAACTCTATGGATCACAGCAGTGCAATCAGGTTGTGCATAGTGTATCCATGAACTGGGGGCTGACTCAATGGCAGCTAACAACAACAACCAAAAAATAATTAAAAAATGAAATAATCGAAAACATTTTAAGCATATATATTTTATCGAAACAATTAGATAGCATGTAGAGATTTTAGTGGTTTTAAGTTCAACAATTATTCAGTCTGGGAGGGCCTGAAATAAGTGGATTGTTTCCTTAGATACAAGATATGATAGTGCAAGACACATTGCTCTCCCAAACATGTTCATTATCTACCCCTAAACCTGAAAGGTTTACCCTTTGTAGCAATACCAGAGAACCTATGAAGATAAATCTCTATTATTTCAAATCTAATAATGTTATAAACTTGTGACTACAGAGTTGACACCACATCACAATTTAGTCCATTTGCTATTATGTGCCTTGTCCTTGAAATCTAAACTTCCATTAAATTAATAGTAGCTATACCCTTTTTATAGTGCCTAAAGGCACTTGACTGCTAACCAGAAGGCTGGGGGTTCAAACCCACTCCTCGGAAGGAAGGTTGGGCAAACCTACTTCCGTAGTGATACTGCCTCGGAAACCCAAGGAGGGGTCGCTGAGTCAGGTCCGACTCGACGGCAAATAACAACTACAACATACCCTTTTTAAGGTGTTTTTGATAATTTTATGAATACAGTAATATACTTATCGGAAAAATTAACATATAGTATATAACCCAAAGGAGCTCTGGTAGCATAGTGCCTAAGGGACTTGACTGCTCACCAGAAGGCTGGTGGTTCAAACCCACCAGCCACTCTTCAGAAGGAAGGTTGGGCAATCTACTTCTGTAGTGATACTGCCTCGGCAACCCAAGGAGGGGTCACTATGAGTCAGGGCTGACTCGACAGCACATAACAACAACAAAAAATATAACCCAAAATTGTGCACACGATTTCAGGACATTCATTGACCCTATAAGGCTGATCATGAGCTACAATAAAGATCACCTATTGCAGTGCAGTGAATTACTAAACATGGCCCTCAAAGACAAAGTTCTCCATTTTTGTATTATAACTCCTAGCCTCTATGCCTGTGGTCATGGTCCCATTTTGGAATGAGTTGTCTGTTATATGAGGTAGGTTTAGGATGGGATGTATCCTGAGTCACTGCCTTAGTAGAGGGTGTGACTCAAGTCATCACCTTTAGTTTCCTCAAGGGTATGGTCTGCATCCAATATATTTGAATGCTCTGGCAAAGTTCTCTGTCTTGCTCTGGATCCTACATGCGGTTTGTCATCTAACCTCTGATTCTTGGCATTTCAGCCAGTAGCCTATCATCGGACCTGATTCCACAAGCTTGTAAGACAGCAGCTTGTTGTCTGACCTGCCAATTTGAGTTTGTTGTCCACTGAAACCACGAGAGTGAGAAGAATCTTCCAGACTTACTCCTGACCCATGAATTTGAGACTTGTCAGACTCCACAACTGTGTGAGCCATTTCCTTGGCAATTTGTGAGTTCTGTGAGATGAAAATCAAACACTATAGCCTTCAGTATGGATTATATCTCAATATGAAGAAAGCAAAAATCCTCACAACTGGACCAATTAGCAACATCATGAAAAAGGGAGAAAAGATTGAAGCTGTCAAGGATTTCATTTTAATTGGATCCACAATCAACACCCATGGAAGCAGCAGTTAAGAAATCAAACAACATATTGCATTGAGCAAATCTGCTGCATTAGACCTCTTTAAAATGTTAAAGAGCAGAGATGTCACTTTTAAGACAAAGTTGCACCTGACCCAAGCCATAGCATTTTCAATAGCCTCATATGCATGCAAAAGCTGGACAAATATCCATGCAAAAGCTGGACTGAAGAAGAACTGATGTATCTGAATTATGTGAAGAATATTAAATATACCATGGACTGCCAGAAGAACAAACAAATCTGTCTTGGATAAAGTACAGCCAGAATGTTCCTTAGAAGCAAGGATGGTGAGACTTTGCCTCATGTACTTTGGACATAATGTCAGGAGGGACCAGTCTCTGGAGAAGGACGTCATGCTTGGTAAAGGGCCAGTGAAAAACAGGAAGACCCTTAATGAGGTGGTTTGACACAGAGGCTGCAACAGTGGGCTCAAACAGCAACCATTGTGAGGATTTGCACAGAATTGGGCAGTGTTTCATTCTGTTGTACATAGGATCACTATGAGTTGGAACCAACTTGACACTTAACAACAGAAATGAATAATCAGAAATTGAAGTTTTAAAATAATATAATTTATCATGTCAGAAAATATTTATAATGTCAACAAAATATGAAATACTTAGGGATAAATTTGACAAAAAATATGAAAGATCAGAACATTGAAACTACTGGGAGAAATTTAAGAAGACCTAAATAAATGTAGGGAGCTCTGGTGGTGTAGTGCCGAAGGCATTTGACTGCTAACCAGAAGGCTGGTGGTTCAAACCCGCCAACCACTCCTCGGAAGAAAGTTTGGGCAACCTACTTCCATAGCGATACCACCTCAGAAACCCAAGGAGGGGTCACTATAAGTCGGATCCGACTTGATGGCAGTGAGTGAGTGAGTGAAATAAATGTAGAGATAAACCAGACTCATGAGTAGAAAGATGGCAATTATTAACTTGGCGATTCTCTTGAAAGTTATCTATAGATTCAGTACAATCCCAACCAAAATTCCAGCAGTTTTTTTGTAGAGGTTAACAGATTCCAAAATTCATGTGGAAATTTAAAACAGAAAACAAAGAATAGCCGAAACAACATTTATAAAGAACATAGTTGGAGGACTCTACCTAATCCTAAGACATGTTATAAAACTATAGAAATCAAGACATCATGGTATTGACATAAAGATAAACAAGCAGATTAATAGGAACAGAACAGAATCCATAAACAGACCTATAGATATACGATCAACTGATTTTTCACTAACATGCAAAGGCAGTTTCCAAACCAAAACCAAACTCACTGCCATTGACTTGATTCCAACTTATAGTGACCACTCCTTGGGTTTCTGAGGTGGTATCTCTACAGAAGTAGATTGCCCAGTCTTCCTTCTGAAGAGTGGGCAATAGGTTTGAACCTCCAGCCTTCTGGTTAACAGTCAAATTCCTTAGGCACTATGCCAAAATCATCTTTTCAACAAATAGTGCTGGAAAATTGAATATCAATATGTAAAACTGTAAACTGGGATTCATACCTTGCACCATATACAAAAAGTAACTCAAAATGAATCATAACCTAAATGAAAACATAACACTATTAAACTCCTAGGGGAAAACATAGGGGAGAGATTTTTGTGGGCTTGACTTAGGTCTTAAATACAAGACCAACAGCACAATCCATTTTTTTTTTTTAAAAAAAGGACAAATCGGAGTTCATCAAAATTTTAAATGTGTTTTTTAAAAGGCACATGTTAACCCTTTCATGACCTGTGGGATATATATCTCCCACTAACATTTTTAATCTCTCAGAAGCTGCTATCCCAGTTGTATCCCTGCCTGGCAGGAACCTGTATAACTTCATGAATCTGAAGAAATGGGCCTCATCCCACCAATCCTACCACCTGACTCCAAAAAGAATATTTGTCTACAACATAATTGTGTCAGCATCCATATTACCTCAAAAAAAAAAAAAAAAATCCCCTTTATGTAAGCATGCTTTCCGTTACTGAAAACACATGGTATCAACAAAAAAATTCAAAGCATAAAGTAATTCAGTCATGTAAGGGTTAAACTTCTGGTTTTTAGCTGAGAGGTGTGGACAGCTAAAAAGAGCACAGTTCTCATCCTTACAACAAATAAATATCAGAAAACTTCAAATGAATGGTCTTTCTTAAGTCCTCCAGACAACTAAGGTCTCAAAGCAAACAGACTAAGCTAGCATATGGAGAAAGCACACGAGCACTTGCTTACCAGAGGCAGATGTCACCAAATGTCATATAAGCCAATAAGAAAATCCAGCTAGAAAATTGTAATGAATTGCCAAAGGCCAAGCCAAAAGAACTGAAGAAAAAATCCAGGCCTCGAGTTGCAATACTGAAAGATTCTATGGGCAAAATATTAAATGATGCAGAAAACATTAAAAGAAGAAGGAAGGAATATATGGAGTCACTGTACCAAAAGGAATTTGTCAATGTTCATCTATTTTGGGAGGTGGCATATGATCAAGAACAATGGTATTGAAGGAAGAAGTCAAAGCTTCACTGAAGGAACTGGTGAAAACAGGCTCCAAGAATACCCATTGAGATCTTTCAACAAAGGGAGGCTGTGCTGAAGACACTTACTCATCTATGCCAAGAAATATGGAAGACAGACCTGGCCAAATGACTGGAAGAGATCCATATTTGTACTCATTACAAAGAAAGGTAATCACACAAAATATGGAAATTATCGAACAATATCATTAATATAGCATGCATGTAAAATCTTGCTGGAGATAATTCAAAAACAGTTGCAGCAGTATATTGACAGGGAACTTCCAGAAACGCAAGCTGGATTCAGATGAGGACATGGAATGAGGGATACCATAGCTAATGTCAGATGGACTGTGGCTGAAAGCAAAGAATACCAGAAAGATGTTTACTTGTGCTTCACTGGCTATGCAAAAACATTTGACTTTGCGGATCATAACAAATTATGATGGATAACCTGGAGAAGAATGGGAAATCCAGAACACTTAATTGTCCTCATGAGAAACCTGCACATACACCAGGAGGCTGTCATTCAAACAGAACAAAGGGATACTGCATGGTTTAAAATCAGGAGGGGAGTGTCAGGGTTGTATCCTTTCACCATACTTACTCAGTCTGTATGCTGAGCAAATGATCCAAGAAGCTGGGCTATATGAAAAAGAATGCAACATCAGGATTGGAGGAAGACTCATTAACAACCTGCGATATGCAGACGACAAACTGCTTGCTGAAAGTGAAGACTTGATGCACTTATTGATGAAGATTAAAGACTACAGTCTGCAGTGTGGATTACACCTCAACATAAAGAAAACAAAAATCCTTACAACTGGACCAACAAGCAGCATCACAATAAATGGAGAAAAGGTGGAAGTTGTCAAAGATTTCATATCACTTGGTTCCATAATCAACACCCATGGAAGAAGCAGTCAGGAAATCAGACAACATGTTACACTGGGCAAAGCTGCTGCAAAAGACCTCTTTAAAGTGCTGACGACCAAAGATGTCTCTTTGAAGACTAAGGTGCACCTAATCCAAGCCATGGTATTTTAAATTGCCTCATATGTATGTGAAAACTGGGTCATAAATAAAGAAGACCAAAGAAGAGCTGACGCCTGTCAATCACAGTGTAAGTGAAGAATACTAAAAGCACCATGGATTGCCAGAAGAACGAACAAATCTGTTGTGGTAGAAATGCAGCCAGAATGCTCCTTGGAAGCAAGAATGCCCAGACTTTGTCTCACCTTCTTTGGTCATGTTGTCAGAAGGGACCATTACCTGGAGAAGGATATCATGCTTGGTAAAGTGGAGGTTCAGCAGAAAAGGGGAAGGCCCTCAAGGACATGGATTCACACAGTGGCTGCAATGATGGGCTGAGGCATAGCAAGGATTGTAAGGCTGGAGCAGGATTGAGCAGTGTTTTGTTCTGTCATACACAGCGTCACTATGAGTCAAGCCAACCTGCTAGCACCTAACAACAACAAAGGCCAAATGTGTACACCATGAGAATGTAAAGTCCTTGAAAGGTGGGGACATAAGGTGTTCACATACTCTTGCAGGATTTTCCTTCAGGAAACCTCCCACCAGGGAAGACTAGAGATAACTGTGCTTTCTGCTGGAGGGAAGCAGCAACAACCCAATCTCTGCCCAGACTCACTGCCATCAGGTTGATTCCAACTCAGAGTGACTCCCATTGGATTTCCAAAGCAGTAATTCTTTATGGAAGTGGACTGCTCCATCTTCCTTCTGTGGAATGGCTGGTGGACCATCAACCTTCTGGCTAGTAGTCAAATGCCTTAGCCACTACACTACCAGGGCTCTGGGGCCAGTTTCTGTCACTTTATTTTGTTTTCTTTGAATGCAAAAATCCTTTCCTATTTCTTTGTATGTCCTATGATTTTTTTGCTGTTGTTAAAACTGAGACATCTGAATATTAGAAGTGTGGTAACTCTGTAAATCAGATTCTGCCTCTACCTTAGGGCTTCCTGAGGACTGCACTGAACCTAGAAATAATTCTGTGGAAAAAGTGTAGTGTCTTCTCAAGTGCTTTCTGAGCATGTGTCTTTCTCTGGGAATACGTGTGGCTTCCTTAATCCCCTCATATACACAGTGCTTAATTTCTGAAAGAAACACTACCTCAAATCTCTCTTTCTAGACTTTGCAGGTGTCTCATGGATGCCTTAATGGTTCTCATTAGCCTCAGGTAGCTAAAGGCAGTTATGGACCTAGGTCATTTCCCTCTGCCCTTAAGCCCTACCTGAACTCTGAAATAGGCCAAACTGAGATGAAAAGTGTGTCTCAGTCCTTTTGGCAGCCCCTAGGCAGGTTAGAATTGACACACACAATAATTTACAAATAGTCTGTTCTGTCCCTCTGGATGCAAAAACTAGGCTCCCTCTTTGAAAGTGTGGGCCACCACCACTTTAACATGGTCACACCAAGTTGGGAAAGGGGTGGAACTTTGGTGAGGACAATTTATATGTCACTGTTTGTTGATTCAGCCTTCACTTAGTTGTTATATCTCTTTTATTGGTTTCCAAATTTCAGACAAATTCGGTTCTATCGGTTTTTGCTTGATTTTTGTTTTGTTTGTTTTTTGGTATTTATGTAAGGGGACAAGAATGTGCAGTTTGCTCTCATAACCATCTTGCTCCAGATTCCCTTACAAAGTTTGTTTAAGCTTCATTTTCTTCATTCAGTAGTGGAAAAGATAAACTTATATAGTCATTAAAATTCTTGAAATTTTTCTGTGATCATATGAGATGAAATTACATAAACATATAGATGGAATATTTGAGAAGCAAAGAGAATAGGAAAAATATCCCTTCGATAAAATTAAGGAGAAGTGATAAAAGTCAGAAGCTGGAAAATGTCAATGGAATGGAAAAGACAAATTGAATATGAGAGAATCTATAAAAACAGGCAATTAATTCTATGCAGGGACAAGGGGGAGGAAAAAGTCATAGATGTTTATGAAGTTTTGAATCTAAGAAATACCATCCTATGTCTGCTCCTTAGCCTGGAGCTTATGTTTAAACTCACATGTTTAGTGCTAAAAGCATATAAACATAGCTGCTGATAAGTGAAAATCTAGTCTGGAGATTACATTTAGATATATGTAATAACCTCAGTTATTATTTTTTTAATTATTTGAACTTGTCTACAGGTAATTTCTTAATACCTTTTAAAATAGGAAGCTGACGATAGGCTGCAAGTTTTGGCTGAAATATATTTTCCATTAAAACTCGTTCCATAAAAAATAAGTCTTGATGAAACTTGTCAGATTTTAATATTGTATCTGAATGGTCTTCTTCATCTTCATGAATTTTAGCAAGAATTACATTTTCAATATCCATTAGAGAACTTGCTTCACTGTCTGTAAAATACAACCATAATGCACAGTGATAAAGTAATAAATACTATTACATGGTTTATGCATTCTAAAGATTCAAGAAAGGGCACTTCCCATTTCTATTTATTTTACTTCAGTATTCAACAATTTCATATGTATTTATTGACCATCTTTTATGTGCTAAGCACATGCAAGGCACACATATGCATCCCATTTTGGAATTCCTATTCATCCAAAAGGGTACTGTTTTTTCAGAAGATAAGCAATGACAAACCTCATGAGGTAATTAGTATATCTAAAATTTTTATCAAAATGAAATAAGATTATTACTGGTCTAAAAGATAAAGGTATGATTTGATTGTTTTATATGAACACTATTAATTTTCTATTAATGCTGTAACAAATTACTACACACATAGTAACTAAAAATAACACAAATTTATAATCTTGCAGTTCTGTAGGTTAGAAGTCTGACATATATGTCACTGATCTAAAATGAAGAAGTCAACAGGTTTATGTTTCTTTCTGAAGGCTTTAAAGGAGAGTTTGTTTCCCTGTCTTTTCTATCTTCTAGAGGCCATCCACATTCTTCCTCTATCTCTAAAGCCAGCAATGTTGCCTTTCTCTCACCACTTTTCTGCACTTTAACTTCTTTCTCATCACAGCTGGGAAAGATTCTTCACTTTTAAAGACCCATGTGGTTAGACTGGGTCTACTCAGATAATCTGTGATAATCTCCTATCTCAAGATCCTTAATGTAATCATACCTGCAAAGTCCTTTTTGCTCTGTAAGATAACATATTCAGTTTACAGGGACTGGGGTGTGGGCATCTTTAAGGGGGCTTATTCCATCACACTTCTTAGTAAACTCTTATTTTTAAACAGAATCAGGGGACTTTGTTTCTGTGAAGAGGAGAAGATTAAGTTTACTCTATTCCTCTTGCTAGATATAAGTAAAAACCTGGCTGCTATGCGGAAAACAAACATAAGAAGACTATAAAAGATGGGAAGAAAAAAGTAGAGCTGCTAGGGACCTCAGAACCCAAGGAAGTGACTCATGATGTGTTCTCTGCATTTTCTTTTGGCCACCTTTATCCCAGACATGGAACTGTAGAAGTCAGCAACCTGGAAACACCAATGGGAAAGAAAACAAAGCCACAACAGAAGCGTACTCTCTGTTGCCAAAGAACCATGAGAGGGGGTGGCCTAGAAAGACAGAAAACTTTCAGACAATAACCACTCTACTCCAACAAAAACATCAAAAAAAAAAAAAAAAAAAAAATGCCCCACCCAAACTAACTCCAAAGGCTAAGTTGGGAGCTCAGACTCCCATTCTTTCTAGGCTAAAACAAGGTATTCCAACCAGCCCCTGCCTCTGCTTTTGAGCGGTGTCAGAAAAAGATGAGTAGGGATCAAAGGCTTTCATTCCTATCAGACATAACAAAAATCCTCCCTTCCCTGTGGTGTTGATGGAGAGATCCCTTGGGAAACCTAGAATTCCACTCTTGCCCTCTCCTTTCCCACTGGAGTGCTCAGAATTGGACTGGTGGACAGCCACGACTTTCATCATTACCCAGTGATAATGAAACCAACCTCTCTTCTGTGGTATCAGTGGAGGATGTGATAGAATAAGTCCCCCTAAAGATGCCCACACCCCAGTTCCTGTAAACTGGGTATGTTATCTTACAGAGCAGTAATGAGTCACTCTTATCTCTCTCAGCCAGAGGAGTATCAATGAAAGCCCAGTGAGGAGCCAGAACTCCCATCTCCATCCAGCTATAATGAGCTCCCCTTCCTCAGGTGTTAACAGAGACCAGCTGGGTAACCTAGACTTCTAACCCGAGTGGGCAGTAATAAGTCAGTGCCCCCCAATATCCCTGCTGACGGGTTATATGAAACAAAGACAGCTAAAATGGAAGGCTTAAATAAAACCTAGACCCTCATAACATGATGCCCAAAATGTTCAGGTTCCAATAAAAAATCACTCATTATAATCTCAACTTAATGAAAAAAAGATAATCAATAGATACCAACACTGAGATAGCAGACATATGAGAATTATGTGACAATTAAAAGGAGTCATCATAAAAATACTTCAGTAAGTATTTATGAACACACTTTAAACAAATGTGAAAATAGAAGGTATCAAATAAATAGGAAGTCTCAGCAAAGAAAAGAAGAACCAAATGGTAATTTTAGAAGTGAAAACATATTTTTTGGGGAAAAAAAAAAACCACCTCAATGGACGAGCCCAACAGCAGAATATAAGGGACAAAGGCAAGAATCAGTGAACTGGAAGAAAGAACAACAGAAATTACCTAATCTGAAAATCATAGAAAATATAGTATGGGAAAAAAAAAAAAAAAGAACAGAATAGAGCCTTAGGCACCTGTGGGAGTATAACAAGGCCTAATGTTCATATTTCCAGAATCCCAGAAGGAAAGGAGAAAGTGGAGCTAAAGTTAACAACAGAAAAAAAAGCCAAAGAGGATTGGATTAAGGACAAAATTATATTGGAGAATGGAGTAAAACATTTAAAGTGTTGAAAGAAAATAAACACCAAACTAGAATCCTGTAATCCTTCAAAAGTGAAGAAGGTGAAATAAGTATTTTCTCAAACAAAGAAAATCTGTCATGAGTAGATCAACCTTGCAAGAAAAGTTGTAAGTTCTTCAGACAGAGAGAAAGTGATATAGAGGAAAGTGATATTAGAATAGATTCTAAAATTAGAATCTATTTAAGAGAGTCAGAGAATGAATGAAGGTAAAATAAATTTTTTTTTCTTAATTGAATAGACAACTGTTCATTAAAAGTAATAATAGTAGTCAGGTATTGGTTGATATGGATATGATATGGATAAATGGGATAAATGGCAGCAGTGTTATAACAGATGTTATTGTTAGGTATGAGTTTGCTCTGACTCCTAGCGATGCTAAGACAGAACGAAATACTGCCCAATTCTACAGCAGCCTCACAATCCTTGCTATGCCTGTGCCATTGGTGCAGCCACTGTGTCAATCCATCTCTTTGAGAGCCTTCCCATTTTTCGCTGAACCTCCACTTTACCACGCATGATATCCTTCTCCAGAGAATGGCCCCTTCTGACAACATGGCCAAAATACGTGAGATGACATCTGGCCATTCTCGCTTCCAAGGAACATTCCAGCTGCACTTCTTCCATGATAGATTTGTTCATTCTTCTGGCAGTCCATGGTATTTTCAGTATTCTTTGCCAACACCACAACTCAAAAGCATCAGCTCTTCTTCTGTCTTCCTTATGTATTGTTCAGTTTTCATGTGCATGTTATTGTTATTGTTATGTGCCATCAAGTCAGCCCTGATTCATAGCGACTCCTCCTTGGGTTTCTGAGGCAGTATCACAATGGAAGTAGATTGCCGAACCTTCCTTCCGAGGAGTGGCTGGTGGGTTTGAACCACCAGCCTTCTGGTTGGCAGTCAAGTGCCTTAGGCACTATACTACCAGAGCTCCTATGTGCACATGAGGCGATTGAAAATACTATGGCTTGGTGGCTAGTACCTAAGGCATTTGACTGCTAACCAGAAGGCTGGCGGTTCAAACTCACTAGCCACTCCTTGGAAGGAATACTGGGCAATCTATTTCTGTAGTGATACTGCCTCAGAAACCCAAGGAGAGGTCCCTATGAGTCAGATCTGACTCAATGGCAGTGAGTAAGTCTTCAAAGAGACATCTTTGCTCTTCAGCACTTGAAAGACGTCTTTTGCGGCAGATTTGCCCAGTGCAACATGTTGTCTGATTTCTTGACTGCTGCTTCCATTGGTGTTGATTGTGGAACCAAGTGATATGAATTCTTGGAAAATTTCTACCTTTTCTCCATTTATTATGATGCTGCTTATTGGTCCAGTTGTGAAGATTTTTGTTTTCTTTATGTTCAGATGTAATCCATACTACAGTCTGTAGTCTTTAATATTCATCAGTAAGTGCTTCAAGTCTTCACTTTCAGCAAGCAAACTTGTGTCGTCTGCATATCACAGGTTGTTAATGAGTCTTCCTCTGATCCTAATGCTGTGTTCTCCTTCATATAGCCCAGATTCTCAGATTATTTGCTCAGCATACAGATTGAATAATTATGGTGAAAGGATACAACCCTGACACACTCTCTTCCTGATTTTAAACCACGCAGTATCCCCTTGTTCTGTTTGAATGACAGCTTCCTGATCTCTGTACAGGTTTCTCATGAGCACAATTAAGTATTCTGGATTTCCCATTCTTCACAAGGTTATCCATACATTTGTTATGATTCACACAATCAAATGCTTTTGCATAGTCAATATAACACAAGTAAACATCTTTCTGGTATTCTTTGCTTTGAGCCAGGATCCATCTGACATCATCAGGGATATCCCTCGTCCCACATCCTCTTCTGAATCCAGCCTGCACCTCTGGAAGTTCTCTGTCAATATACTGCTGCTACCGTTTTTGAATTATCTTCAGCAAGATTTTACTTATATGTCATACTAATGATATTGTTCTATAATTTCCACATTCGATTGGATTTTGGCCCACATCAGTGGCAAGAGGCAATGGAAAAGCTCAATACCTTCAGTCAAAACAAGGCCAGGAGCTGATTGTGGAACAGACCATCAACTGCTCATATGCAAGTTCAACTTCAAGTTGAAGACAATTAAAACAAGCCCACAAGAGCCAAAATATGATCTTGAATATATCCCTCCTGAATTTAGAGACCATCTATAGAATAGATTTGATGCATTGAACACCCGTGACTGAAAACCAGAAGAATTGTGGGATGACATCAAAAACATCACCCATGAAGAAAGCATGAGGTCATTAAAAAGGCAAGAAAAGAAGAAAAGACCAAAATTGGATGTCAGAAGAGACTCTGAAACTTGCCCTTGAATGGAGAGTGGCTAAAGCAAATGGAAGAATTATAAGATAAAAGAGCTGAACAGAATCTTTCAAAGAGCAGCTTAAGCAGACAAAGTCAATTACTATAATGAAATGTGCAAAGACCTAGACTTAGAAA